GGAGCCCCAGTCCCGTTGCACACGGAGCGCAGCCCACTCCACTCCGTCACCAGGGCCTAACTGCTCCCCCGAGAGCTACCCGAGGGCTACCAAGCACCCCAGCACAGCAGCTCGGGTCCCACGCACCGCAGAGGCCCCACACGGCCCTGCTGACGGGCACGGAATCTACTGCACTCCCACAGGGACAGGAGACCATGGGCCCAGGGTACACTCTCGACAGACGCTCCACTGCAGAATGCTAAGGGCTTCCTAGCTGCTTAATCACCACCTTAGTCCTCCTTATTAATCAGTTACTGGTGCCAAACGCTAGGAAGCAGTCAGGCTCAGGCCCCTGGTGACAAAGCAACTTGCACGGAGGCCTGGAGCAGGAGGCAGAATGTCACAAACACTTCATTTTCAACCCACTAAAGCCACTAGTAATGGAAGAACCAACATCCAAAGACACTTCTGGATGACAATGAAGCACCTCTCTCCATTGGCTCTAAGCTACTTACAATAATAATAACATACAACGACCTAGATATGCCAATGTTGTCCATAAAGAAGCCCGGCGAGCGCACTGTGCTCCACAAATTCGCCTCGAGCGCAACTCACAAAGCAGCACGAACCTGACCAGGTTTCTGGTCAGCAGGACACACCGGCCCCCTCTGGCTGGGCCAGGGGATGGGCCCCAGACGCGAGATTCCTCACTCAGCAGGAGGAGAAGCCCCAGGAAGCCCCCACGTTTGTTCCAACATCTTGTTCCAGCACCTGAAGTGCGGCCTCCGTGTGCAGCGCCTGCTCCAGCTGCGGCTGCACGGCGTCGGCGCGGCCGTGCCAAGATGGGCACCCTCGAGGCCAAGGCACAAAGAGCACAAATCCTTCAGACAAGAGGGCGCAGCGACAAAGACCCGGGAGGGGCAGCAGGGCCTCCACCAAACGGGGACACAAAAATCTCAACTTGGGACTTCATGGGTAATTCCTTTAACAGTGGAGCCAGCAGAACAGGTTAACTTTTAAAGGGCAGAAATGACAGTTTCTTCCTCAGCATTTTCCTGCTTCAGCCATAGCCACCCAAACGTCACAGACCAGGAAAAGCAGCAAACGTCTCTTTGGGAGGGGACGTGCGGGGAGGGCCGGTACTTTTACCGTTAGCGCTCCAGGCAGGCACGCACCGGGGACAGAAAAGCTCACCAGGTGCATTGTTTTCCTGCAAAGTCAAGCCAGGGTTTGCTCGGAAAGCAAAGAGCTGCAGCAGTTTCTCCCCACTGGGATTTCCAGCCAAGCGGGAGGGGCAGGAGCCGGGCAGGGCAGCCGGGAGCCAGCGCCGGGCGGGAAGGAGGGAGGCTCCCGCCTGGGCACGACGCTCTGCGCGGTGCGGCAGCCTCTCCCGGCCGCCAAGCTCCGCTGCTCCGCTGTGCAAGAATTGTTTGAAAAAGGGAACTGAGAGGAAAACTAGCGCCTAACAGAAGTTTTGGCATTACAGGAGCTTGCTTGGGGTGAGACACAGTTGCCACTTCCAGGATGGCCGGTACACACGGACTCGGCTCCTCCGCGGTTCCCTGGGCAGCACAACCTGCCCTCCTCGCAGCTGCAAAGGGGAGGAACGGAGGATGGAGCGGAGTGAAGACCCCGCCGCCAAACTCTGTCGCACTCCTTGTGCTGGGCCGCTGATAAGCCACACAGCAGCTGTCCAATGGGAGATATACGAAAAAAAGGCCAGTGCTGAGCCACAAAAGGGGCAAATCACCCCTTTTGGATGAGCTTTGCTTGAACTTTGCTCATTATACGCTCATTATAATGCCAAAACACACCTCCATCCCACAAGTTACCCGCCTCCGAGGTGCGACCACCCCTCACTGAGCATGCACTCTAGATTTGCAATTGACTCTACCTTTAATTGAAAGCAAGAAACTTTTTCATCAATCAATAACAATATTAAGTATGACTCTAGTCACTCAACCTCCACCTGAACGTAAAGAAAAGTATAAAAGGGGAACTAAGGATGAAGAACTTGGGGGGAAGACTCCATCGTAACTCTTGGGTCAGTCAACGGGGCTGATTCCCCTTCCCTCCCCTCGGGTTGAGACGCCACCTGAGGAAACTCAAGACCGAGACCCTCTCCCATCTTCTGGGGTGAGTGATGATGGCACATTTGTACATCAGAGCCAGCTAAAAAAATCCCACGCTGTAGTAGAGAATTTCCTGTACTGACATCCGAATCCTGCTTTGTAAATGTTCCATTTGAATAAATCACACTGTGAACTCGACTACTTGTTTGGGGGAGGTGATAGGACCTACAGTTTGGACAGACTGTTTGTGAATGTGATACTGCCAGAATTGAGCTTATAGTGGATGACGCTATTTGGGAACTCAATTAGCTCCCAGGAAGGCGATCGGACCTACGGTCCATAGACTGTTTGTGAATCCGATACTAATTTGATATCTCCTTCCCCCGCCACCACCACTACGCCTTTCAAACTGCAATGTCTCACAACATCTGCACAGCGCGGCAGCCTCTCCCGGCCAGCCGAGCCCCGACGCTCCGCGCGGCGCCGCAGCTTCTCCCTGCCCCGAGCTCTGGGGGCAGCAGGGGAGCGCGGGGCCCTGACCAAGACACCACGTCTCGCTGCAGGAAGCGCCTCGTGACGGGAAATCCACGCGCACGGCCATTCCCGGAGCTTCATCCAGGCTGCGCGCCCGCGGGGGCTCTGCAGGATTCGGTGTCACCACGCACCGCACGGCGCTTCCAAAGGTGGGACAAGCGACAAAACAAGCCCAGCGGAGGCCCCACGAAGCTCATCTGGCCACTAAGGTACCAAAACTGGGTAAGCTATTAAAACACCCCCACCCCATTATTCCTGTTATGTGAATCCCTTGACACATCACGATAAACACTTCAGCTGCTTTCCTCGTGTTCCCGTCTTACTTGCACCCGCCCTAGAGGTTAGGTGGTGGTGAAATGTCCTTGTAAAGGAAATGCTGGCATCTGCCAACATCTTACCCGCTCCCAGCTCGGCACCTGGGCGAGTCTGCCAAGCAACCGCAACCCAGCCCGCGTGAAGCCTCTTAACCACAATATCAGCAAGTACATTGTGTGGAGCAGAGCGGCATGGAGAGAAATTCGGAAGAACGCGCAAAACGAGGCCAGCAAGGGCGCAGGGGAAAGGCATCGGGAGGTCAACAAGTGCCCCGAGGTGCGTGCTGCCTGTTGGCTCCTGTCCCAGAGCAAACCAGGTCCCAGCTGGGCAGGGAAGGAGATTTCACACCTCTAGAAGGATGGGATACAGATAGCCTCTCTTCTGCTTCTGAAGAGCAAGAAAGTATGATTATTACCCGAAAAAACGCAAGGTTTTCGGCCATCGATTTTGCTGGTGAGAACAATTCTTTGAAGTTTTAAAGTCAGCATTCCAGTTCGCTAGGCTCTTGGCAGCTCACTGCAATCTCTACTGCTTCCTCCTAGACCCTCTTTTTGCCGCCACAGCAGCACTTTGGCAGCGCCGAGGTGCCCGAGCCGCAGAGGCAGCTCGGCGAGCGGCAGGGCGGCGCGGAGCGGGACACGGGAGCGGGACAGCGGAGGGAACGGCCTCGCCGAGCCCCCACCGGCCCCACCACCCATGCTCGCCTTTAAGGTATTTTAAAAGTTATTTTGCTGCCTGCGGTATTCTCATTCATATTTTCATAACATCTTATATACATTTATAAATATTTTATACATTCTTATATACAATTTTGCATATACTTATATTTATATATATTAATAATAGATAATATGTAACAATAATAAATATTGTAGATTATTATATATTGATATCTATAATATAAAGAAGTATGTGTATACACATGCATACACTTTTTATATTTCTATACGCGTACTTATCTCACATATCTGACGCTGTTAGCGGAAGAGGGCCCGCGCGCTCCCGCGGGCCGGGCCGGTTCTTACCAGGCGCGGGCGCTGTGCAGGGCGCGGGCGGGCAGCTCGAGCAGCATGGTTCCGGGGCCGGTTCCGGGGCCGGTGTCGGTGCCGGGGCTCCCTGCGGGGACACGCGGTGAGCGCCACGCCGCCGCTCCCGCCTCCCCGCCCGCCTCCCTCCCCGCGC